CAAGTCTTCCCTGACTGCCCCCCCACCCCCTGACTCCCTCCAGCAGATCCATCCTGCTCACCACCTTATCCTGCCTGGCCTTCAAGCCACACCACAACCAGAAGGTCTTTGTATTGGTTTGTGTGTATGCACACTATGTTGGGTTTGACTCTTTGCAACGCCACGGACTGTAGCCTGCCAGGCACCTCTATCCACGAGATTTCCCCAGGCAAAAATACTGGAGTGGGTTGCCATTTCCTTCTCCAGGGCATCTTCCTGACCCAGGGATCAAAACTACATCTCTTGCGTCTCCTGCATTGGCAGGCAGATTCTTTACCAGCTGAGCCACGGGGGAAGTCCTTGAATTGCTTTGTCTGCTAATATATCCCTCTCCCCTTCTACTGGAATATCCACTCCACAGATCTTGTCTGCCATGCTCACTTCTACCCTTTTAGGGTTGAGGGCACTCAGGTCAGAAGGTGATCAGCAAAAGTTTTCGAAAGTCAGGATTACATGGACATCCGGTAGTATTTACGGGAGTGACTGCATTGGTTCCACAAACCTGGCATGGTGCAAAAATCCAGTGACAATACAGATTTCATTAACTATATGGAACCAGCCATCATACCAATTTCTCTGAACATGATCCCCAGCCTACCCTAGGGAGGATATTTTTGTGCACAAATAGTAACTCTGCGCCAAAACCAGCCTGCAACCTGTATATGCAAAAAAGGTTTAGGGGAACACAGCCACACCCATACATGTATGGATTGTCTGTGGTTGCTTTTGAGTTGCAAGGGCAGAACTGAAGAGTTTCAAAGACCACATGGGCTGAAAATATTCACCATCTGGCCTTTGAGGAAAAAGTCTGACAAACAGTGAGTGTGAAGAAACAGAAATGTAGTGTAAGACTTTGAAAACTACCCCAGAGAAAATGGCAGGGTTCACACAGACACTTGCCAATGCTACTGGTAGCTAATATCTTATTCAGGTCTTGTTATGTGCAAGATACTGTGTTCTAAGATATTGTGCTATGAGTGTATCATCTCCTATAATTTAATTCTCATTCCAACTGCGAGTGGGTTCTGATTGCTGAGGCTAAATGAGGTCCAGTAATTTGTCAGGGTCAACAGAGTCAGTGACAAATCTAATTCAAACCCCAAGCGAGGTCTGCATGCTCTGAAACTTGCGCTTGGAGCCACCATGCTGGACAGCTTCCATGGAAAGCACTTTCCAGTCACAGTGAAGGGAACTCTCAGCACTCTTGAGACTAGCATGTCTCCTCACTGTCCTCAGAAGGCCACCAGGACGTCCCTGCTGCCTTGGGATATTTTGTTGTTTTTGTTCAGTTGCTCAGTCGTGTCCAACTCTTTGCGACCCCATGAAAGGCAGCACGCCAGGCCTCCCTGTCCTTCACTATCTCCTGGAGTTCACTTACTGAGTTGCTGATGCCATCCAACCATCTCATCCTTGGGGATGTTAAATGCCCACTATTTTCTATCTCAAATGCCACTTCTCTGTCTTTGAATTCTACTGATTTGTCAAGACTCCGTACAAGCTCGCCTGCTCTGAAGCTTCTCCTTGTCCTGGTGATTAATTCTTCACCTGGTTAAAATTCTTCCTCCAACCAATATATGAAGTGTTGGAGGGTAAAGGCTGCCTTTGACAGCACACAGCCTTTGCTCAGACTGCAAGCATACATAACAGACATGCTCCTCAGAAACAAAACTCTCATGAAAACTACAGCCTCCCCTCCCCTGGAGAAGATGCTGCTTAGTAGACCACACGCCAGTTCAAAATGCCAACACTGCCTTTGATTTGGATGTCTCTCTTCAGCTGTTAACAAATTGGCAACCACAAGCTTTATCATCTGCACCTGAGACATTTCATAAGGAACGTGCCTTTCATTGTTATCATTGTCATTTACCTGTGCCAACTATTAAATTCTCCAGTTCTCTCCAACCCCCACAAATCCTGCCTTCATATCAGCTACTGCATCTCTTGTGTTACAGGGCATGTTCAGCATCACAAAATCTAGATGTGAGAATAGTTGAACTCAACAAGGCTCTTGAGAGTCCCCTGGACAGCAAGGAGATCAAACCAGTCAATCCTAAAGGAAATCAACCCTGAATATTCATTGGAAGGACTGATGCTGAGGCTCCAATAACTTGGCCACCTCATACAAAGAGCTGACTCACTGGAAAAGACTCTGATACTGGGAAAGATTGAGGGCAGGAGGAGAAGGGGGCAACAGAGAATGAGATGGTTAGATGGCATCATCAACTCAATGGCCATGACTTTGAGAAAACTCTGGAAGATAGTGAAGAATAGGGAAGCTTGGTGTACTGCAGTCCATGGTGTCTCAAAGAGTTGGGAACAACTGAGCAACTGAACAACAATGTTGCTTAGGGAGAGTGGTTGCACTTGGGGGCATCATTTCTGGGGTGATGGCTATAGTTGTTTCTTGCCATAGGTGCTGGATACATGGATATGCTCACTTTGTGAGAGCCCATTCAACTGTATGTTTAGAAGTGTAGGTATATTCTATTTCAATAAAAAGTTCTCATATATCCTGTGTAAACATAGCTTACACACGTGGATCTTTTTTTTTTTTTTTTTGCAGAAACCCACATCTCATTTTATTCATGAAACATCCTTAAAAAGGACAGGTCAGACCATCTTACCAGAGGTAGCATGGAAGAAAAGGCAAAGCAACTCTCATGGTGACATATAAAAATGTAGGTGAGACTGATGTTCAAGGTCAAATTTGACCCCAAGACCATGAGCCCTCAAAGCCTCCTGCTGTAGTTGAACTGATTCCTATTAGAAGCAGATACTCTGATTCAGAAAACCAAATGCCCTTCATATGTGAGAATCAAAATAGTTTTCTGAAACACGACATACAAAGGAAGTGGGTAACAAGTCTAAATGATATATAGCAATATTCAGGTGCTAAGGCCTTGAGCCATCTTCAGACCTTGTAAAAGTGAAGAACTGCCTGACCACAAACAAACAGAAAAAGCAACCACTTATGCTACGCACTGAATGTAATTGCTTTTTGGTAGTGTCTGACTCTCTGTGACCCCAGGGACCGCAGCACGCCAGGCTTCCCCATCCTTCACTATCTCCTGGAGTTTGCTCAAACTCATGTCCATTGAGTCAGTGATGCTATTCAATTATCTCATCCTCTGTTGCGCCCCCTTCTCCTCCTACCCAAATGTATGCCCCTTCAACATCAATTCAGATGTTGAAATTCTAACCACCAATGTGATGGTGTTAGGAGGTGGGGACTTTGGGAGGTGATTAGGTCATGAAGGTGGAGCCCTCAAGAATGGGATGAGCTCTTATAGGAGACCCAGGAGAGCTCCCTCCCCCCAACCCATGTGAGGGCACAGGGAGAAGTCAGCAGTCTTCAGCCATAAAGACAGCCCTCACCACTTTTTTGTTGTTGATAAATCACTCAGTTGTGTAAGACTCTTTGCCACCCCCATGGACTGTAAGGCTCCTCCTGCCAAGCTCCTCTGTCCATGGGATTCTCCAGGCAAGAACACCGGAGTGGGTAGCCATTCCCTTCTCCAGGGGATCTTCCTGACCCCAGGGATCAAACCCAGGTCTCCTGCATTGCAGACAGATTTTTTACCGTCTGAGCCTCCAGGGAAATCCAGAACCTCACCATGCTGGGACTCAGTATTTTCAGGCTTTCAGCCTCCAGAATCATAACAAATAAATTTATGTTGTTTTATAAGCCACCCAGTCTACAGTGGTTTGCTTTAGCGGCCCAAACAGACTAAGACAACTTTTGAAGACTGGGTTAAGCACCATGCTAAACACTCTACACACAGACTCTCAAATTTTCCCAAGAGCCCTGATTTTATCCCTGCTTTATAGATGAGAAACCAAGACACAGAAAGGGTAAGGAACCTACCTAAGGTTACATGGTTATTCACTGGCAGGGTGGGATTGAACCCAGGCCACCAGACTCCAGAATTCATGTTCTTAAATATGACACTTGCCATACCTCTTGTTGTGATGTACCTGGGGACAAGTTTCCAGTTTCTAGTGTGTGACATACCTTCCTGTCATGCTTGTCCAAGCGCATACAATGATAAGATCTTGGCCAACACACCCAACTCTTTCATAAGTGGCAGGCTGATTTACAGAGTAGATCCCTGCTCCCGAAAGAGTCATGCTGACGCACATGTCCAACCTCCTACCTGGACTTTCCCCCATTTATTTGTAAGTTAGAGATTCAAAATCAAGATGTGTGGCCTACCTGAAGCCACAATCAGCCCAGATTAGACTAGAAAGGTGCCTACTTGAAGCCACAGTCAGCCCAGATTAGATTAGAAAGGTCAATTGTCTTCTTTTGTCTTCATTACCAAAGATGGATTGCTTTTAGACAAAGTATTTGCTCATCCTACACTCCTTGAGTAAGCAAAAACAATGCCCCATTGCATAAGCAAAGCTTAGGAAAACGAAAACTTCTGTCAGATGTCTACAATGCTACTTTTAGCTGTACTTTTAAAGGAACATTATAGTAAGAGCACATTTTGAATCTCTTTTTCTTTTTAAGCCACATCGATCTTTATGAACGGTAAAATTGCTGGTCTATGCTGCTTTCGAGGAATTTAAGCGGGGAAAGAGGGGAACATGATTATTTAAACATAATGCTTCCTTTAATGAATTGTCTTCATTTTGGAAGTGATTTATCTGATGAGCCTTCTCTTACCCCTCACGTCATCCCCCCACGACCTACCCCATTTTCTGAGACTATGGGGTGAACTAGGAAGTCAAATTAGGAAACCACTGCAACAATATTCTTCAAATGATTGACAGTTCTGGTTTGGTTTTAAGTGAATATGAATCCTATCTTTGGGCATGGGGACCCTTTCTCAGATGAGCTGACTTCTTCATACAGATAGTTATTAATATATGCTTTTAATAGGTCATATTTTTTTCTCTACCTGGAATTGGGACATTGATCTCTCCTGCAGGGAGCACCATACATTGTGGTGTCACCAAGTTCTATAGGTCTCTGTCCGAAATGAAAGGTATTTTAGTTCTCAATCAAAGCTCCGAAGTATGCCTCTTCAAAACTGCCATCTTGGGCAAGATTATTCAAGAAACTTCTCAGGACCAGAGGCAATGTCATCCCGAACTGGGAAGACTGGAAGCTGCTTGTCATGGGCCATCACCCTGACTGCCGACTCCCCGAGATGCAGGCACAGGGCGGATGGAGGATGCAGCGATACCGCCCAGGGATGCACGGCAGGTGGGGCCCTCCCAGAGCTTTTCTGCCGCTACGCTCAGAGTAGGGGGTCCTGGCGAGTGGCAGCCCCTCTAAGTGACGCAGGGCCCCCGGGCCTGGCTATGTGGAAGCTCCCAGGACGCTGACCTCAACTTTGTTCTGTAAAAATAGCTCAGAAGCAGCGGCGCTCACGTGAGCCGCCCCGGCTTCTTCTCCATCGTCCCGGGGCTCCCGGCGGCTTCTCGTCCCCGGGGTCGCAGAGGGGAAGGGCGGTGTCCTGAGCCCCGGTGACAGGAGGGACCCCGGGCGAGCGACCCGAGGAAAAGAGGGGGCGCTGGGTGGGGTCGAGGGCCCGAGCCGGGCGGGTCGGGTTGGGCTCAGGGCTCCGGGCCCGGGCCGGGGCGGGCAGGCCGCGCTCACCTTCTTCACCGACAGCGAGATGTTCTCCAGAATCCGGTCCTTCACCTCCCGCGGCTCCATGGCTCGGCCGGCGGGGAAGGAGGCCACTGGCTGTGCGCGGCGGCGGCGGCGGCGGCAGGAACTGATGTCAGGTGGGGCGGCGCCTAGGCCGGCGGTCGGGCTGGGACGCCGGCGCCGCGTCGCGCCGGGGAAACTGGGACCTGGGAGACCCCCTTGGCCTCCAGACCCAGGCGCCCCGGCCCCTCCTCAGAGACCCTGGAGACCCCGTCCCCGCCCGCCAGAGGCCACCCGTAGCCTCCCCTTCCTTACCCTCGAGACCCCTCAAAGCTCAGACTCCGGCTCTCAGCCCAGAAACCCAGGCCCCTTGGCTTTAGGCAGCGTAGAGACCCCCTGCCGGACCTGCCCACAGATCCCTGCCGACTGGCCTTCACCAGCCCAGGGTTCCCCACCCTCACCGCCCAGTCCCAAGTTTTAGGCCATTCCGGGTCCTCGGTGCTCCTCCCCACCCCCAAAACACTCTTAAACTTCATCTTCAGTCCCGAAGCCCTTGCCTGTTCTTACCCTTATCCCACTTCTTCAGCTGGTCCACATGTCCTGAGGACGTAACAGTCTCAGCCCCGAAGCCCACCATAACGATTCCCCTTCTCCCCACACACCCGCCTCCTCAAATTCGTATTTCGAAGCCACTTAAACTTTAGAGTTCTCAGAGTCCTACCTGGCTCACTCACTCATTTGGTCCCCAAATAAGTATATTTCTGATACATTCATTAGTTCCTTTCTAGTTTTTTTTTTTTTTTGTCAATATATAGTCATTGTATTTTTTTTTTTTTTCACTTTTTAAAAGTTGAGAAATATGCCATATATTAGTTTCAGGTATATGATGTGATTTGATATATGTATATATTGTGAGATGATTGGCACCTTTCTTACTCTCAAGATACCCCAGTTCTCAGCTACAGGTCTCTGATTTTCCCTCTTCCCTCTTCAGGCTGCCTCTCCTTCAGCCTCTCAGACTCGGTCACTCCAACAGTGATCAAAAACACTGATTGTACAGCCTATCCTAGCCGGACCCCACCCAATACACATAAAAATGATACCTCTCCATCCCTCAGTTTCCCCAGGAGAGACCCAAGATGGTAGTAGTTATTTTTTGGTTTTTATGTGACTGGATAAGGGGGCAAAAACTATGTGCCAATAAAAAGGAGGGAGAAATAGATTGCTGCATTTTATTACCACTGCAGGATCAGGATCGAGGACAAGAGTTCTTAATACCAACAATGATGATGATGATGATAAGTGATGAGTACTGTGTGCCATGAGCTGAGCTAAGTGCTTTCCATACATTTGTCTCACAAATCCTTGAATAACATTTCTGATACAGGTGAAGACATTGAGCGTAAGTTGCCTAAAATCATAAAGCAAACGGTGGAGCCCAGAAACCATTTGTACCCTTTTCTGAGCCAAAGATCTCTTTATATTTCTTCCAGTAGTCATGTACTGATGTGAGAGTTGGACCATAAAGAAGGCTGAGCACTGAAGAATTGATGATTTTGAACTGTAGCGCTGGAGAAGACTCTTGAGAGTCCCTTGGACAGCAAGGAGATGAAGTCAGTCAATCCTAAAGGAAATCAGTCCTGAATATTCATTGGAAGGACTGATGCTGAAGCTCCAATCCTTTGGCCACCTGATGAGAAGAGCCAACCCATTGGAAAAGACCCAGATGCTAGGAAAGACTGAGGCAGGAGGGGAAGAGGGTGACAGAGGATGCGATAGATAGTATCACCAACTCAATGCACATGAGTTTGAGCAAACTCTGGGAGATAGTGAAGGACAGGGAAGCCTGGCATGCTGCAGTCCATGGGCTCGCAGAGTCAGACACAACTGAGCGACTGAACAACAATTCTAGGAGGTAGCTCTACAGGGACTTGGTCTAACTCTTTAGAGAAAGAAGCAAAATCCCTAAACCCAGGGTATTTTCTGAGTTCAGGAAAATAGGAGATAACAGCCTCTGTGGAGCATAGAAGAGGGCAGAATGACAGGTGGGGCTTGAGGCTGCAGTCACTGGACAGGTGAAGAAAAGCCTGAAGGCAGAGGGAACATTACTTTGAATTTGGAAAGAAACAACCTGGTGTCCAGAAGTGTTTGTGGCAAGTAGGAGGAAAGCTGGCTTGAATGACCCGTCAGTCTGATAGCTTTGCTGCACTCCCTTTCCACTCCACCTAGACTGGGTGCCTACAGGCCCCAACTTGTCTGATGCAACTCCAGCTTCTGAGAATCTATTCAGTCCACAGCAAGGAATGAGCTAGCTTTGGGATTCCTCCCTCCTTTTAATAATAACAAGCCACCATCTGGGCAGCATCTTCTGCTGGGTGCCACCTTCCTATGAAGTTTACTCATGGCTTGGGCACATGACAGCTTCAAAAGATGTTATTATCACTTGTTATTAACAGGTCTGATGAAGGCGGTGGCATTTCTGGCATGTTGTTTCTATCTTCATGCATTGGGGAATGGTCAGGTTCAATTTTTTACAACATTCAGGAGGAACTTACAGCCTTACTACCTAGCAAATTCCTTAGGCTTGTATAGGTATGTGAATGGATGGGAGAAATGAGGTAGATTTTAGTCTCTCAAGACTTCTTGCAGGAAAAGGGAGGGAGTCCAGTGTGTGTGTCCACATGCAGATAACTGGCCTAGGCCCAGGTGGCTCAGTGGTAAAGAATCTGCCTGCCAAAGCAGGAGATGTAGGTTCATCCCTGAGTAGGGAAGATCCCCTGAAGGAGAAAATGGCATCCCACTCCCCTGGAGGAGGGCATGGCAACCCACCCCAGTATTCTTGCCTTGAGAATCCTATGGACAGAGGAGCCTGGTGGGCCACATTCCATAGAGTTGCAGAGTTGGACAAAACTGAAGCGATTTAGCATGCACCAGTATTCTTGCTGGGAAAATCCCACGGACAGAGGAGCCTGGTGGTCTACAGTCCATGGGGTGGAAAAGAGTTGGACACAACCGAGCAGGCATGCTTGCACCAGAGCTCAAATATGGAATCCATTTTTGCCTGTGAAAAGAAAAAGAACAAACAGAGGGTGCCTGTCCATCCTCTTATTGGGAGTCATTCAAGTTCAAAACTGAAACTTATTCATTTATTACACAAGACTTTGCTGATCATGTGGAAAGGGCATGAGACTCTGAGGCATCCAGAGTCAAAAGCCTCAACTGAGTCACTCTAGGGCCCTGGGAAAATCTTAGTTTCCAAACCAGTGACACAGGAAAAATTATTGTTCTTTTTTTTTTTTAATAATATTGTTTGCATCTAAGTCTACTGCCGAACACTGTTAGATGAGGAAGTTGGGAAGGCAGGCAAGATCATAGAACTGCCACAGACCTGGACTACCAGGTCTCCTCTGCTCTTCTTTCCAAAGGTGTGTACTGCCTGAGAGAGGAAAAAGAAAAAATTCCAGCAACTATAACCTTAAAAGACAATTGGACAAGATTGTTAAAAAAAAAAGGTGGAAGATGGTTTAAGGGACCAATTCCTCCCTTCCCCACAATGCAAGGCAAATATATTTATATTCCTAGAGGAGGGAGTAAATATTTCCTTGGCCATTAGGCTTGTGAAGTTGCTCTCTATCTAAGAAGGGAAGAGAAGGGACTAATTGCAAAAAAACAGTGATGGTCCAGGTTCCCATACCTTAACTCTGGTACCTGCACGTGCAGACAATCTGCAACTCTAGGCTTGGGTAAACTAACACAAGGCAACTTTAAATCTAGGGGGTTTTATTTTAAAATGTTGAACACCTGGGAAGTCCCTGGCGGTCCAGTGGTTAGGACTTGGCACTTTCACTACCGTGGACCCAAGTTCAATCCCTGGGGCAGGGAACTAAGGCCACGTGAGCTAGGGGGGAAAAAAAATGTTAAACTTTCAGTCCCTTCCTCCATATTGTCCCACCAGCAATATGGGTTGGTGAAAACTGGGATATCATTCAACCTCCCTGCTTCAGAGCCTCCAACAGCTTCTCATCAGAGCGTTTGGAATGAGATCCATTCTCTTCTCAGGCCTCAAAAGCCAGAGCTGATCTGATTCAGCCTCTCTTTCTGACTCATCTCCAATCTGTCCGCTGGTGTGTGCCAGCCCCCGCCAACCTTCTGCTTCTTAAACAAGCGTGTGTGTTCACATCTGAGGGCCTTTGCTGGGAAAGCTCTTCCCCAGTGTGGCAGAGGCCCTGGGCTGTCCATCCAGAACTGCTTGCCCCACAGTGACAGCACTGTAGCCCAGCAGTGCTAGTGTATTTCCCAGCCTTCCTTGCGGTAGGCATGACTATATTATCAAGTTCTCTTCCAGGGCATGTGAACAGAAATAAAGTGATCCGCTTCCTCCTCCATGCTCTTCTTCCACCAAATAGGATGAAGCCAAGGGGATGTCAGACTTGTAAGAGAAGAGCCTCGTTCCCTGAGCACTGCCTGGGTGAGATCTATCAACCAGGAACACCTGTTTGGACTAGATAGCACAGGCAAGATTAAAACTTGGTTTGTAATAAATTACTAGAATTTCTGGCCTCTTTGTTCCCTCAGCCTAGCCTGATGCAATACACCCAAGATTCTCATCTGCGGACTTCTCTGGTGGTTCAGTGCTTAAGATTCCACGATCCCAGTACAGGGACTGGGTTTGATCCCTGGTTGGGGAACTAGACCCCATAAGCTGCAGCTGAGACCTGGTGCAGCCAAATAAATATTTTAAAAGTCTCATAGGGCAGGAGCCTCCTTGTCAGCCAGGTCTCAGTTTAAATGCTAGCTTCTCAGAAGCCTTTTCTCTCTGATGGTTTTACTCCACATGAAGTAGCCTCTAGTCCCGTATAGCATGCCAACCTCCTAAATTTTCATTTTAGGAAGTATTACCACCTGTTTTCTTGTCCGTGGTCAGGCTTCAAAGACTCTGTTAGAACGTAAGCTCTGCAGAATGTGCACTTTTGCTCAGTTCATGCAATGCTACATTCACAGCACCAACTCAGTGTCTGGCACATGATATTCAGTGTTTATTGACTTAGTATTTTTTGATTAAATTTTAATTCAATAGGGATGCAGAAAATTTTTTAGCTGACCATAGAAGTAAAAGCACATAAAGAGAACTTGCACCAAATAAAAGGCTGCTTCTCTTTACATCTGATTTGGGCCTTTTCTATTCCAGGAAGATAATGGGTGAGAAATTATGGCCCAAGTCGGTACAACCATTATGGAGAGGTGCTGTTTGCCACAGTCCCAAATTAGTCTTAGACGTGGGTGTAATAAAAATACTACCTCACAGGGAAGCCTGCAAACTTACTAACCTCATAATGTCATCTTTCCTTCTTATTTTGGCTACTCTGTGAGGCTTGTGCAAGCTTAGTTGCCCAACGAGGGACTGAACCTGGACCCACGGCAGTGAAAATGCTGTCTTAACCACTGGACTGCCAGGGAATCTGTCACCCATCTTTTAAAATCCACATTAAACTCAAGGTCTTCCCAGGTGGTGCTAGTGGTAAAGAACCTGCCTGCCAATGCAGGAGATGTAAGAGATGAGGGTTCAATCCCTAGGTTGGGAAGATCCCCTGGAGAAGGGAATGACAACCCAGTCCAGTATTCTTGCCTGGAGAATCCCATGGACAGAGGAGCCTGGCAGGCTAGTCTATAGGGTCAGAAAGAGTCAGACATGATTAAAGTGACTTAGCACACCCAAATCCAAGGTCAACAGTCATCCCAGGCTAGAATCCCTAAACCTGCACACTAAACTCAATGACCTGGCTGGGTTTCAGGTCATTTTTGTCACTCCACTCATGGGCCTTTGAAGCAGCCTAATGGTATTCACGGATTTATTACTTCAACACGTATCTGAGGGCCTGCTATGCATAAGGCAAAGTTCTAGGCTTTGGGAGATAGTAGTGAAAAGGCGACAAACCCCTACTCTCAAGAAGCTTACATTTTAATGGGGAAGACAGATAAGAGATACAGAAGTGAAATGAAGAATATGCTAGGATGTGTCAGTGTTGAGAAAAATGAAGGAAAATGACAAGTATAAATTAGCTAAAGAAGGCCTTACTGAGGTAGCATTTGAGTAAACACCTAAAGGGAGTGAGAGAAAAAGCCATGGAGGTGTTCAGGGAAAGGACATTCCAGATCAAGGAAAAGTCAGAGGCACACAGGGGCCTCGGAGGCCTTCTAAGGACTTCACCTTTTACCCTGAGTGAGACTAGGGCCCATTGAGGGTTTAAGAAAAGGTGTGACCTAACAGAAACATGCTGGTTGTTGTGCTAAGAACATTTGTAGACAAGGGTAGAGGCAGGGAGACTTACTGCAGTACTGAGGTGAGAGGTGATGATAATGCCTTGACCATGGTTTGAGAAATGATCAGATTTCAATTATGCATATAATATGCATTTGGCTTTGCCGGGTCTTAGTTGCAGCATGTGGGATCTAGTTCCTTGACCAGGGGTTGAACCCAGGCCTACTGCGTTGGGAGTACAGTGTTTCAGCCATTGGACCACCAGGGAAGTCTCCAACTGTATTTTGAAATGGAGCCAATAGGATCCAGGATGGGTTGGATGTAGGTTGTGAAAGAAAGGAGTCAAGGTCTGAGTGAACACCTGGAAGGATGAAGCTACCTTTGACTTCTCAGGGGAAGCCCGAGAGGAACAGGTTGGGGTGGGTGGTGGAATATTTCTGGTTTGGGGAATTTCTATTTCAGATACTTGGAGTTGAACAGGGAAAATGTTGGTTTTTAGTAACTTTCTATGAGGAACCAAGCCACTCTAGCTCTTCTTTTTAGACAAAAATCCACAAATAAGGACTGGTAAAGCTATGGTTTTCCAGTTGCCCTGTATGAATGTGAGTTGGACTATAAAGAAAGCTGAGCACCGAAGAATTGATGCTTTTGACCTGTGGTGTTGAAGACTCTTGAGAGTCCCTTGGACTGCAAGGAGATCCAACCAGTTAATCCTAAAGGAAATCAGTCTTGAATATTCATTGGAAGGACTGATGCTAAAGCTGAAACTCCAATACTTTGGCCACCTGATGTGAAGAACTGACTCATTGGAAAAGACCCTGATGCTGGGAAAGACTGAAGGCAGGAGAAGGGGACAACAGAGGATGAGGTGGTTGGATGGCATCACTGACTCAATGGACTAGTTTAAATAAGCTCCAGGAGTTGGTGATGGACAGCATGCCAGATGTGCTACAGTCCATGGGGTCGCAAGGAGTCGGACACAACTGAGCGACTGAACTGAATTGATAGTTTGCTAATCCTATTAGAACACTAATAGTTTTGAACAGGGAAGGAGTATATCGGCTGACAATTTAGCCCTTTAAGATGGAAGTATGTTCTGCTTAATTTGCCTTTTGAAATCTAGAACTATGTTCTTGAACTTTTCCCCCATTCCTCTGTATTTCTATTTTTAAATGTATATCCTACCTTTTTCTTCTATTTTCCTCCTGCAAGCTGTAGATCCCTGCCATAAACCCAGCTCACTTCTGTGATGCTTGTAAATCTCTCCCCGCCTTAAAATACAGGTGCAGTGAATTCCCCTTTCTCTGTACCAAAGATCTAGAATTCTTTCCACCAATAACTAATGTTTCACAATTTACTCCACTCGTATCAAGTGCTAGAAACCTCATTTCAAATGAATTATCAGATTGAGATCTGAACAATGGAAAAATAATTAGTACTTCTTACCTCCAACCAGAAGTAGCTTTGGCTCTCAGCATTCTGATAGTCAAGGAAAGATAACAGAACAAGGCGGGGATGTCTCTAAACTACTCCCTGTATATATCAGCTGATCCATGTACATTGGCTACTGCTTAGTCATCCAGTCATGTCAAACTCTTTGTGACCCTTTGGACTGTAGCCCACCAGGCTCCTCTGTCCACAGGATTTTCTGGGCAAGAATACTGGAGTGGGTTGCCATTTCCTCCTCCAGGGGATCTTCCTGACCCAGGGACTGACCCAAGTCTCCTGTGTCACCCCACATTCCACATCTTTACTGGCCGAGCCATCAGGTAAGCCTATGTACACTGGAAATCCTCTCAGTAAGGGCCCCACAGCACACACTCATGCACAAAGCGGTAACTCCACATTAGTTAACACCCAAGGGCGTTTCTAACTTACTCATGAACCCCTATGACAACCCCAATAATTCCCATCTTATAGATGAGGAAACTAAGGCACAGAAAGGTTAGGGAAGTTACCCAAAGTCACACAGCTAGTAAGTGGCAAAGTCAGAATTCACACCTGAGCATCCTAGCTCTAGAGACTAGTCTGAGCCACAAAACCCTGTCACCAATGTTGTCTCTATCGCTGTGCATCACTGCTGGAGCAGTCACTGTTTCACATCAGCAGATGGCCATCCACCTGCAGTATTTATCTGGAAGTGGCTCACTTCTTCTGGTGTTTAGGATCATGGCCACAAGTAAGAGTGCCTAGGCATAAATTACTTAAATGGCCGGGAGACAGAGACAAGGACAAAAGTAACCAACCATATCAACTGAAAAGAAACTAATCAAACAAGAGTCTTACGATAAAAACTTTATTGTCTTAAATATCAAAGGTTTTACACATCACTTTTTCTTCAGAAAGTTCCTAATAAAAAAAGAAAAATAAAATAAAAGTGTTTTGATTACTCAGGGCTGACTTACATTTCAGTATGTGACAACGACTCAAACCCAAATGCATCTTAGCTCACTCAGCTGCAGACAAGTCGTGTCCAGCCCCCAAACCACTGGCACAATGCAACCAGCTGTGGGGTTCCTGAGTTTGGTTCCCTTAAGCTCTCAGAGGTTTCCCAACTCTCAAAACCAACGCCTTATGGGAGTGAAAGAGCTACTGGCAAGCCTATTTTGCCAATCAGCCTAGTTCTTGTAAGATGCAGTAGTCTCAAAGCTTAAAAGAAAAATCAGGAAAGCAATAAAAGAACAATCCCAAGAACAAATAAGAGAGAAAAGAGGCGTTTCTATTTGCTAAAATTTGCCAAAAATGGCTACAAAACTGGTAAACAAAGATTATTTGAGTGCAAAGGCCATTAGCCCAACTTGCCATGGAAATGAAATTTTGAATAAAAATGAGCATTCAACGTTCATTGTAGGTGCACAGTTTAAAAAAAAAAAGCAAACACAGTTAGTATGCTGAATTGATCTGAGTATATAGGAAACTATAGAGGTCTACCTTTCTTTAAGCCACTGATGCATCCTTCAAGGCTGAATGTGAAACAAACTTTCTGGTGAACAAAATAGTTTATTAGTTATGTATCTTCCCAGGAAAAAAAATCTACCAGCACACCTCTTTCCCAAGTTAGCTAATGAAGACCTCTTTATGTACATAAGAGAAATATAATTCTGTAAAAATTATTCTAATTTCATATTCCACATCCCTACCTCAAGTCTCCTTAATTTTTTTTAGGGAAATATCCCATCTTCTACATCTTTGCACCAACGTTCTCTGTAGATTTCATTCCCTAAGACTGTGCTCTAAAACTTATCTGCTATACCCTCTCACATTTTAGTCCCCAGAGGATCTA